TGCTGGGTTTGCACACGGGTTACCCTGCCCATCCATGGTCCTGGGTTTGCACAGGGTTACCCTGCCCATCCACGATGCTGGGTTTGCGCACGGGTTACCCTCCCTGCGAGCTCCATGTGAGATACTGGTTTGGGACCTGGCCACCTTTTCTCACGCAAACGACTTTAACTCCATGGTTGGGTTTCCAGGCCAGTGAAGCTTATTTGATCAAACATGGTAGCGTGAAGCCGAATGGTTCTGAGGCGAAGTCACTGAATTCTAACTGAAATTATCAGGGGCACCCCTCCCTCCCTGGGAATCCAGCAGGAGCAGCCATGCCCGCAGGGGGTCCCCGTCCCCGCCCAGAGGGCCCAGAAGGAGGGTAGGGTCTGGTGGCAGGGCCTCAAGGGGTCAGAGGACCAGAGGGTGGGACCCTCTACCTGTAGAGGCAGAAGTTCCCGCAGCACAATTCTAGAATCTGAGAATATCCGATTCATCTCTATAGTTCTAACCCAAAGCACAGTGTCTGACATACAGCATGCTCAGTAAATTTGTATTTTTTAAAATTGAAGAATGGTTCCTCTGCAGTGGGTGTGTGTGTGGGGGGGTGTGTGGCTTAAATTGGGGATGTGTGAAGTTACATCAGTGGGCAGAAGGCATAGCGGGAGGGGCAGCAGGAATCACTCATGGGTTTTAAGTCTGGTGTCCTGTGGAGCAGAGGATAAGTATTGAGGTCAATGACAACCTCATTAGGTCCATATATAGCTGCTCGTGTCTGTTAATGGGTTGCCCTAAACACAGATGAGGTATTTAGTGGGGCTCATGAGATTTGGTCCCATGTGGTGTATTTTTATCAGTGACAAGAATAGAGGCAGGTGGCATGTTCATCAATTTTGTGGATGACATGGGGTGCCTGCGTGGCTCAGTTGTTAAGTGTCTGCCTTCGGCTCAGGTCATGATCTCAGGGTCCTGGGATCAAGCCCTGCATCGGGCTCCCTGCTTGGCGGGGAGCCTGCTTCTCCCTCTCCCTCTCCCCCTGCTGTGTTCCCTCTCTTGCTGTGTCTCTGTCTGTTAAATAAATAAATAAAATCTTTAAAAAAAAATTTTGTGGATGACAGAAAAGTTGGAAGGACAGTTAATACACTAAATGACAGAATGAAGATTCAGGAAGATTACAAGAGATTAAACTAAAGGAGAATTTCATAACGATAAGTGTGATATTCTAAGTTGGGTTCAAAAAACTCAATGGCACAAAGACGGGATTGGTGTGACCCACTTCTCTAGAAGAGCAAGAGAAAATGTCCTGGTGGCTTGAGTTATTGCCAGTTCAGGAGGAGATGAACGGATGGGCTGACAGGACTTCTCCCAAATGCAACTTGGGATGTTTTCATAGAGGCGGGATATTTAGGCTGGGAGAGGTAGTTCCCGGGCACACAACCCTCGTGGGATCGCATTCTGCTCTGGGTGCCCTGCTCTGCGTCACTCACAGACTGTAGTGTAGCTAACGGATATACTGCCGGCCACAGAAGGACCTGTGGGAGGAACTGGAGAAATTTACCCTAGAAAAGATGGGACCTAAACGTGGACATGAAAGCTCCTTTCACATATTTGAAAGGCTCTCAAATTCATGCTCTTAAAAATGACTGAAGATCCCAAAGGGCTGTTGTTTGTGGGGGTCATATCTATTGTTTTTATCATATTAAAAATTGATGTGTTCTCTCATCTGAAACAGAATATTAACTATTTCCCATTTAATGATAGAGCTGTTCTGTTTTAACATACTTTTTATGAGAAACAGCTGGTTTTTTTAAAAAAACAATTCGGTGAGAAGAGTGACAACTTTCTTCAATGTCTGGCATAACAGAAGACACACCGAATCTGGTATCTGTTCCTCAGTCTGTGTGATATGTTGTTTTGGTTCAAGTACACAAAGAAAATCTGGCCTCACAAAGTTGTGCGGTAGGAGAAGGGAGAACCTTACAGAATCCCTGGAAGCAAGGTCCTCAGAAAACACTTTGAGAAGCTCCAGTTCAAACAAATTAGGATCTGTGGGCCTGAGTTCTAGAAAGTTCTGTCTAACAGTGATGGAGCTGGGAAACCCCTGACCGCTCACTCAAAGTTCTCTGACACTGGCAGAAGCCTCTATCTGGCATGCCCCAAAGGATTTATTTGTTTGGTTTCGAATGAGATCAGAGGTACTTTATGCAATTCTTCCCAATCCCATATTTTCAAGATTTTCTAGCCAGAAAATTGGATGACTTGCCTGATAGGCATGATTGTCTCTGAAGGGAGAGCCGGCAGAAGGGCATCTAAGTGTTCTGACCTGCCTTTACTCAGTGTGTGAGTGACTTCCGTCCACCTGCAGGAGCCCCAAGGAGGCTGCGGGACTAGTGAGGTCTGGGCGCCCGCGGGCTAGGAGGTGCTCCCGAGGCCAGGGCTCTCTGGGAGTGGGTGGGAGGCTCAGAGCAAAGTGTCGGGGATGATGATGGAGGGAGAGGAGCAGCAGAAATGGTAGGATTTGAGGGTTCATAGGGAGCTGGGAGCATCTGTGAGGCTCAAGGAGATAGAGCATATGGGAGCGTGAAGGAGAAGAGAAGGCTCAGAGCTAGAGGACCAGAGGCAGTAAAGTTCGAGACAGGGAGTGGGATCAACCGCAAGTAACCTTGGGTTGTTGGCAGTGACAAAGAGGAGCTGGAGAGCAGATAATGTGCCTTGTTGCACCCACCCCCTGAAGCACATCTGATTTGCGGTGGTGTATCTGGGTATTTGAGCTCAGTCTCCGAGGTGGGTCCTGGGCTGTGCAGGGTGGGGGCACAGCCACCCAGCTGGGGACCTCTCAAACCAACCCAGCCCGGGAGCACTATTGGGTGTCCCGACTGCCAGAGGTTTTCTCTCTGACACACTGAGAACAGACAAAGCAAAGAGACATTTTCTGGAGGTGAAAACACCCTGGCCTGCCCCCAAGCTCTGGTGACGTGGAGATGAGCTGCCGAGGCTAGCCGCGAGTGTGGAGGGAGAAAGGTGTTTGCCAGTCCGGTGGAGCCGGGGTGGGAGGAAGCCGGCAGCTTCCCCCGGGTTGACCTGTGCTCTGGCAGGTTTCTGGAAAGCAGCTCGGGGAGAATCCTGACTTTGGATACCTGACGGGATGACACAGCACCAGCTGATTCACATGCAACCTGCAAGCTGCTCTCTTCCCTTCATTTGCCCCCGGTTCCGCTTTTCCTTGGAAGTCGGTCAAGCTGTCTGTGGTTGGCTCTCCTTTTGGGGGTTGTGGAGGAGGCAAAGATCCTAGCCATGGGGACAGGAGGAGGGAGTGCCCTATGCTTGGCTGCCTGAAGAGTCCCACGGGCCTGTTGAAGGCTAGGATGGCCTTGGAGTACTTGCTTTGCCCAGCGATCTGATTCTTAAAACCCTTTGTCCAGGACACAGCGTGTCCTTTGGCAAAGGTACAATTGTGCAGCTCCTATCTGGGGGCGAGTCCTGTCTGGGGGCTCCCATGGAGCCCCTGCTCTGATCCGGTATCAAAGCCAAACAGAACCTACAGTCCCCAGGAATCTTTTAACCTGCAGAGGACAGACTGGTATCCCCCAGCAAGAGTAAAGCCTGAACTCTTTTCCTTGGGAAGTCCAGACCTGCCCCCCCCTCCCCCCTGGCAGTGCCTTGTGGCTGCAAAAGGTATTGTGTCCTTCTACCAAGTGTATCAGCTTGTGGCCCAAGCCCTGAGCAGAGTTTGTAGAAACCATCCAGCCTTGCTCGATTTTTCCTTTCTAATCTCTACAGGCCTCATGGGCATTGCAGAGAGGAGAACTTGCCTCATCCCTCTGCAATGCCAGTGTTTCGGCCAAGCCTTTTAGGGATGCACACAGAAATGAAGAAAGGAGAGTTGGGAGTGTCATAATTCATAGAATTCCTGGAGGCGAGAGAATGCGTTTCTATTCCCCATATCAGAGAAGCACCCAACCGAAGTCGGCCCTGCCCTTTCCTAGACAATGCTAAAAAATGTTCTCTTTCTTTTACCCTAGTTCCTCAAGCACATACCCCAGAGAGTATCCCTTTTCAGCTTTATAAGAGCCTAGTTACTGAATCCTTAGGAATTTCGATCACAACCTCCACAAAATTGCCTGGAGGGAATGACAACTGGTGAAAGCCTTGCTTATTTAATGGCTCCCTTGTTTTCCTTTCAAGTTTCCTTACAAGTGGGGCCCTTGAGCAGTATCCTCTGTTGGAATCACTAGTTTAAGGCTCTCTGTCCAAATCTAAATCAAATGGCAAGGATCTGGGAAGACAAACGCCATAGAAACACGCTGGACTTCCACCAGGAGCTGGCAAGGTGAGTTCAGGTCCTTACCTGGACTGGCGCGGCCGCTGTTCTGGCTGCTTGCAGGAGAGCTGGGGGACCAGCGATCTGTAATAACATTGCACTGGTCAGAGCATGAATTTTAATCTGTTCTCATTCTTTCCATGATCCGACCTAGCAAGACATTACCAACCAAGGTCAGAACTAAGGTAAAGCTTTGTCCTTGGGTGGTCTGAATCTGCCCCAAGGAGGCCCTGAAATGGAAAAAGAAGGGGAGTGGTGGTGGGGATTTAACTCAAAATACTGACTGAAAATTCCAGGTACTAATAACCCCTGTATTTCACAATTGTCAAAGTAAGTATCTTTTGCTAAAGGGCCGTATTTTTTTACACTTCATTATTCTTACAATAATTCTCCTCAACTGTGCCACTCCTGAGGAGGCTAAAGTAATCCTTCAGTAGCAATGTCACTTAACATTTCACAATTTGCTCAAACGGCATTAACATGGTATTGATGCAAATAGCATTAGCTTTCAGTCATCTTAAAGGTACACAATGGGTTATCCATGGTGGCGCCTGGGTGGCTTAGTCGTTAAGCGTCTGCCTTCGGCTCAGGTCATGATCCCAGAGTCCTGGGATCAAGCCCCGCATCGGGCTCCCTGCTCGGCGGGAAGCCTGCTTCTCCCTCTCCCACTCCCCCTGCTTGTGTTCCCTCTCTCGCTGTGTATCTCTCTCTGTCAAATAAATAAAATCTTAAAAAAAAAAAAAGTACACAATGGGTTATCCTTAATTACTTTGTGAGAAAATCAAATACACTTCAGCATTCAGTATTTATCGGGCAATTTCTCTGAAGCAAGGCTTTAAAAGAGACGCAAAGTCCGTTTTGGGGGAAAGGGAACCATGTGAAAAGGAGCTGAGGGAAAGAACCAAATTTCACAGAGGGGAAGAGATAGAAGGTCACGGAACAATATCAGTTCCTCGGAAAGCCGAATCTATCCCCAGTCAACGTTTCGCTCCCTTTGACTTTGTTCCAATTATCTGAATACGGACTCCAAGTAGCTTTGTTTTCTCTCCAATGGTAAAGAGAACACATGCTCCCTGTAAAAATACGTACCACGTATAGTAAGAACTCACCTGCAATCCTTCTATCCTGCAGCTACCGATACGCAACCATGGCGTAAAGGTATTGTGTCCTTCTACCAAGGCGACACAAGTCGCCTTGTCGCCTCCTTCTTTGACCGAACAGTCTGTCACGGGCCAACCTCATGTCATTAAGTGCACATATTCACCAAAATGTTAATAGCTGTGTGGTAATCGCTCTAACCATTCTGATGGTGGACAACTGAACCGCTGATCTTTATTTTTCTATGAGGAACAACACCTGTTTCCAGGCTCCTTCTCACCCTCAGATGATAATTACCTTAGGATGTACTCCCGTAAGTGCGAATTCTGGGTCGCTTCCACTGTGCCTTGCCTGGTCATGACCTTCCCCCATTTTTCTATGGGAAGGTTCCTCTTTTTCTTGCTATTTGTAAGACTGGATTTTAAGAAAACAAGATAAACTTTCAGAGAGGAGATAAGTGTTGGCGAGAAGGGAAATCGCCTGTGGGGGGCGGGAAGGGCAGTTGGAGATGCTGGTCTCCCTCCGCCTCCCTGGAAAGGTGAATGCCCACAGCCATCCGCATGCCTTGCCACTAGGTGGCGCTCTGCTCCCCTCCTTGGTCTGCCCCTTCTTTGTGGACAGACATAATCAGTTAGGTCTCCTGAGGCAACTGTGGCACTTCTTGGAAGGAACCTGACTAGGAAAATAATGCCCAGCAAAGCAACCCCACCCTTGGAAGCCTGTGGTAGATTTAGCTGACCCTGCAGCAGGCCTTTTCCAGAACTCTTTCTTCAGCATATCTGTGGATCTGGTTCTACAGGCTGCCCCCTCTGGCCCTGGGATGCGGCCCTGCAGCTGCCCAGCTCCCGTTAGTGCCTGTGTAGTCCTTGGCATCTCCCATGACGAACAGAACAGCCTCGCTCTTGTCCCTCTGAGAGGTCTCTATCGCTCTGGCTCTTGGCTCCCCTACCCCCAGCCTTGACTTGTTCCGCGCTATCTTGTTAGGTTTACCCATTCATGGGTCAGTTAAGAGGTGTCCAGCCCCATCTTCCTTGTTCTTCCACCTGTATCAGCTCCTCTCCCTGGGCCGGGAGAGCCCCTCTCTTTTCTGGCTACGAAGTTTCCACTTTCCACTAGACTCCCTCCAAGTTCTTATGTTCTGTGTGAGCGGCAGCTCTTTATCTCGTTGTAGAGCAAAGAGGACTCACAGACCCCAAATGCAGATTGTTCCTGTTCTGGCTACACACTTCTAGGTGTCTAGAGCTGAAGCGACCTGTTGCAGGGATCTCGGTACAATGTGTTCCTACGTGTGGCCCAAGATCCCAGAACAGTGCCTGACACATCGTAGGCAGTCAATAAATATTTGTTGATTGAATAAATAAATTAGCTTTTACTTGGCCACCCCATCCACAACCAACTTCTAGAATCTTTTGACTCTAGTCACATATAAAAAGAGAGGGGAAAGCCCTTAATAAATGTGGTAACAACAACTCACTTGTCTATCGGTAGTAGAAGAGTTACTCTGTTAGAGTTGGCAGAACATTCTCAATTCATTTGAAGAAGAAAAGGGATTATCTGTGCACTAAATATTATTTAATTTAGTTGGGCTACAATATCACAGCAAGTATCTATGGCCATACATTAATATAGGCATTCATGAAAGTAGATGGGCGATTACCTGGGGCTGGGGAAGGAGGGATTAGTTCATGGGCACAGGGTTTCTTTTTCTTGTTCTAGAATCGGTCACGGTGATGGTTGCACAACTTGGTGATTACTAAGAACCACTGAATTGTACACTTTAAATGGGTGAATTGTATGATATGTGAAAAGTATCTCAACTAACTGTTATTAACAAAAAGACATAGGCCTTCAAACACCCATTTTCACTTCTCTTCGTTCCTACAGAAAATCCTTTGAGTTGGCAATATCATTTTTTTCTCGCCCTCTGTCCCCTCCTCCCCGCCCAGTTTGGCCCCTTTCTTGGCAGCTACGGTGGATGCGGGCCGGAGCCCTCGCTCTGACTGTTTGCCTGGCAGTCTGTGGGGCAGCCTGGGCGCGGGGGCTGGACGAGGTTGAAGAGGGAGGCCGATGGGCTGGGAGGCTACCGGCCAACGGCCCTGTGCCCCGGCCAGGAATAATGAGACTGTGCCAGGGTGGGAACCACAACCTGAGGTGGTTGAGGTTTCTACAAGCAAGGCCCAACGTGTCCCAGGATTTCCAGGCTCCCAGTGTAGCCAAATAAATATGCCACATGTTTAATTATATGTGTTATGTAAAAATCGACCTCCTCCAAGGAGGCCCCAGGAGCAAACAACTTACTCAAGTCCTCTGAAGTCTTTGAAAGAATTAAGGGCTCTAAAAGTCAAGAGCCTGAAGTTCAGAAAGAGGAAAACTCTTCGCTGTGGGGCTCCCTCATCCAGCGTCCCTTCCTTCCTTCCTTCCTTCCTTCCTTCCTTCCTTCCTCCTTCCTTCCTCCTTCCTTCCTTCCTTTCCTTTCTTCCTCCTTCCTTCCTTCCTTTCCTTTCTTCCTTCTCTTCCTTCCTTCCTTTCCTTTCTTCCTTCCCTTCCTTCCTTTCCTTTCTTCCTTCCCTT